GTGGCTGTCAACTCTTTAAGAAGATACAACAAATTCGAACCTTTCATCTTAGCTTCTCAAGCCGAGCAAGTTAGCTTCATTCCATACCCTCGCCTTAGAAGTTCAGGAACAACTTGGTTAGCTGTTATCAAGATTACACCTCGTGGACGAATTATTGCTGGGGAAGAACCACCATTGCAAGAAGAAGCGTGTGTCACTGAAGTAGAAGTACCTGATCAAGAAACTGATGAAATCTTTCTTATTGATCCGCATAATCATCAATACGAAGATCTTCCCAACGATGTGATGGAAGAAACATGTGAAGACGAATTCGAAGGTATAAGCGATGATGATTCTCCTGATGTTGATGAGAACTCGAATGATTCCGAATGATGTAAAATATGTACCACATGTTGTAAAATATGTATCAAATGTTGTTTTTATATCAATTAACGATGTGTAACAAATGTTGTTTATTATAAGAAGTTTAACAAATATTGTTTAGTATAGTAAGTTTAGGGTTTAGAAAAATTTAGAAGAAGAAGAAGAATAAGAAGAAGAATAAGAAGAGAAGAAGAATAAGAAGAGAAGAATAAGTAACTTTGGGGTTTAGGGATTTGATTTTCGGGGTTTCATACATTTCCTAGTTAGTTCGTCGTAATGGAAACACGGACCTGGTAACTTCGTCGTAACATGAAAAACACGGGCCTGGTAAGTTCGTCGTAACATGAAAAACACGGGCCTGGTAAGTTCGTCGTAATAGAAAACACGGGCCTGGTAAGTTCGTCGTAATAGAAAACACGGGCCTGGTAAAAGCCTTGTTAATTTACGACGAGCTTACGAGGAAGAAAATTATCTATATAAGCACACTCGCATACGAGGCTGCTCGCCTCGTTCATTCCTCCTTACCTCCTCTCCCTCTCAAGGTAACCTCCTCTCTTTTTTTTTTTTTTTTTTAGTTTAGTTTAGTTTTAGTTTAGGTAGTTAATTAGGTGGTTAGTTTAGATGATTAGGTGGTTATTTTAGATGATTATGTTATGTAATTAATTAGTTTAGATAATAAGTTTAAGATAAATTGATGATATTTATTTTTTTATTTAGATGACTCCTAGACCGAAACCGATTAGACCACCTCCTTCGTATAGTGACTTGTTTGGTACTGATGGTATCGGGAAATCGTCTTCCGGCCCGTCATCTTCCGACCGTGTGCCGGAGTCTCATGCATATTATCCCGGCAATGATATACCATATCATGAGGTGCCTCCACCTTCCGGTCCTACTTGACATCCCGGTCCTAATCCCACACCCGATCCCGATACCATTCCCGCAGGCAGTGATTAGGTTCATCCAGATTTGCGGGTACCTCCCAGTGCACCATATGCTGTCTATACTGTGGAGGATCTTCTTGCCCAACCGAGGCGAGAAGGTTTAGATATTCTGGACCCCGATCGTCCGCGGAGTACTTATTGGTAAGGTTTTTTTAATTCTTAATTTTTTTATTTATAAAATTCATAATTTATATTATTTTCCAAGTTTGGAGCTAACAACCGCGTTAGCCGGAGTGTTTCAGACACGATGAAGGGGTACTTTCTCGAGCCCCATCCGAATTGGAGTATGACTCCAGACCACGTGAAGATAACGTGGTTTAAAATGTTTGGGGTAAATATGTTTATAATATTTAATATTTATTTTAATATTATTTTTTTAATATTTTAAAATTATCTTTTTTGGTTTCAGCAAAAGTGGCATTGGCCATTATCGATCAACGAGAAGGTGAAGGAGGATTTTATAGCAAAAGCCAAGACTCGTCTTTGCAACACCGTCTCGGATTGGAAGGACAAATGGGAACTCTATGGTTATGAAGAGAAGCCCAAGGAGATCTCCAACTTTTTATGGAATGGTCTCATCCGCTATTGGAGCCTACCTGCCTCCATCAAAAAGTCCAACTCCTGCTCTTCTTCCCGAAGAACGAAGGATAAGTACGGAAATGACCCCATGCTTCATAGATCCGGCCAGAAGCCTCATGCTGGGATTCGTCTAGATGTTGTAAGTTTTATTTTTAATATTTTTTAAAATTATTTGCTAATTAAGTAATTAAAAATTAACTCTTTTATTTTGTTTGTAGGCCGAGAAGACCGGAGTCATGCCATCTCTGACTGAGCTATTCAGGATGACTCACGCCACACCAGATGGAGTTTTTGTGGATCCACGTTCCGAGAGACTCTATAACGATGTGGTTTCTCGGGTTGAGAAGCGGCAGACACAACTAACCCAGCAGGCTCCCGATGGGTCACCCGTCACATTGACTACAGAAGAAGTCGATCGGATTTTCGAAGAGGTAAAATTTTTGAATAAATTTTAATTTGTTTTTATTAATTCGATTTTATTAATTATTATTTCGATATTAATGAATTTTTTTTTGAAACAAGGTGGCTCATAGAAAGAAGAGACGGACGGTGGGAATAGGCCCCGTTAACGAAGTTCCAAGGGCAACTTCTTCGTACATTTCGCGCCGGGATGAGGAAACTTCTCAGCTGCGGTCCCAGCAGGAGCGTTTGGACTCACTTGAGGATTTGTTGGACATCGTGGCCACCGATAACCCGGTTATGCAGAGAGCGCTAAATGCAAGACGAGCGGCTCTCGGAATGCAGCAGCATCCTCCTGAGTCAACCGGTCGACCCGGCCCGGAACTCAGCCGCCCCGACGAGTACCTCCGCAGCAACATGCCGTAGTTTTATTTTATTTTATTTGCTTTTGTATTATAAATTTAAGTATTATAAATTTATATATTATTTTTTGACTTTTTTAATATAATGTTTTTTAAACAATCTTAATTTTAAAATTTTTGCTTTTATATTTTAAATTACGAAATTTATAAATAAAAATATATAATTTTAAAATTATATTATATAAAAACACCAAGTAATTTCGTTGTAAACTTTACAACGACTTAACATCGAATGACAAGTAAGTTCGTTGTAATGTTTACTACGAGTTTACATGTTCTACTAGTAATCTACTCGTAAATTTACATCGACTTAACATCGAAGTTTTACGTGTCTATTACTTCGGAAAGGAACGAGGACTTTACGTGGAAGGTTAACGTGGAGGTTACGACGAAGTACTCTACATGTCTTTTACAACGAACAGAGTTCCTCGTAACGTTACGCGGACTTTACGACGAAAAGTGCATTACGACGGGCGTTTAACAACGAAACGGCTTTCCTAGTTAATTCGTCGTAAAGGTCCTATTACGACGAATTAACCACGAATATAGCACTAGTAAAAAAATTGTTTTCTTGTAGTGAGATGTCTTACTTTGTACGTTGTAGTACTTGGTGGATGTAAGAAAAAAAAACTATAGAACTTGGTGGTAAAAGATAAATCAGAATGTTATTCAGCTGTGTTTAAAGAAAAAAGGTTTTTAAAAAAAGAATGTTATTCAGCTATTAAAAAATATTACTAAATATGTAAATAAATATTCAGATAAATATCTATACTATTATTTGCGAAGTGATTTTTCGCAACGGAGCTCTCACGTTAAAAGTTAGAGTGGCTAATATCGATTATACCCTTAATGAATAAACTATATAAATTAGCTAAAAATAAAAAACCAAAAACAAGAAGAATTAATCAAAATCTATAAGATAGATTTTATTTTATAAAGATAATTCTTATATATATTGTGTTGTTATCCAAAAATACCTTTTATATAAAAAAATTAAAATTCAAAAATTCATAAACATAAAATACATAAATTAATAATTCAAAAAGTCATAAACAGAAAATACATAAATTAATATATTAAAATAATGAAAATAAAAATAAAAATATATGAAGTGATTTTTCGCAACGGGGCTCTCACGTTAAAAGTTAGAGTGTCTAATATCGATTATACCCTTAATGAATAAACTATATATATAAATTAGCTAAAAAAAAAAAAAAAAAACAAGAAGAATTAATCAAAATCTAAAATATAGATTTTATTTTATAAAGATAATTCCTATATATCTTGTGTTGTTATCCAAAAATATCTTTTATAAAAAAGAAAAATTCATATACAGAAAATACATAAATTAATATATTAAAATAGTTTTTATTTTTAAAAGATAATTCTTATATATATATTGTGTTGTTATCCAAAAGCATCTTTTATAAAATTCAAAAAGTTATAAACAGAAAATACATAAATTAATATATTAAAATAATGAAAATAAAAATAAAAATATATTTATAGCATTTTAGTTAGTAATGCATTTACTAATAATAAGTACCCGCATGTGCGGACAAAACACCTAATTTTATACATGTATGCGTGTGTCACTGATCTAGCGAATACAAAAAAAATATAATATTAAAAAATAAGACTTATTTAGTCAAAAGTTTCAAAAGTATTATTAGATATTTTGGGTTTTTTGTGGATTAACCAATATATGATTGTATTTTTTTAACTTTTTACGAGATTGCATAGAACTTTTAGTTAAAAACAAAATTTCATTAAATTCAAACTGAATTATACTCAAATGTCTAGATCTATAGCTTTAACCATATATAAATCAAATATAAACACACTACTTAAAAATCAAACATTATAATAAAACATTTTTTGAAATACTAATAAAATAATTTTTATATTCTTTTTTTTTTGATAAAAATTATAGCTTTAATTAAATTTTATTAAAACAGAAAATATCCGTGCTTTAAAAAATGCGGATCAAAATCTAGTTATATTAATATAGTTTAATATGTAAGTATGGACTAAAATACCATTAATAAAAAGTTAGTTTTATGGTATCTTACGTGAATAATATCATTGTTTACTAAAATACCATTAATAAAAAGTTATTTATGCTACGGAGCAAATTAGATATCTTGCTAAAATAAAGATTTTGTCAGCTCGGTGTCCGTGGAGTGGCATCTTAGGGATGAAAACCAGTCGTCTCTTTAAACTACGAACTACTTCTAAAAAAAAAGCAGAAACCATATCTCCAGTTTGCTGATCCAGAACAGAAACAACAAAGATGGCCGAGGTAATACAGGAGGCAGTGACAGATATGTGGGGAAAATGGACCATCCGTGGCCTTGTAATCTCAAGTCTTGCCCTTCAAGCAACACTTGTTGTTCTTTCACCAAATCGAAAACGAACACGTAGGATACCCTTTCAATTTCTCATCTGGTCGGCTTACCTTTTAGCCAATTGGTCAGCTGATTATGCGGTGGGACAAATCTCAGATAGTTCAGGAGATAAGCCTGAAGCAAACGAGTCGCCCAAGACAAACGAGCTTTTAGCGTTCTGGGCAATGTTCCTACTCTTGCACCTTGGTGGTCCTGACACAATCACAGCTCTTGCAATGGAGGATAATGAGCTATGGCTCAGGAGTTTGTTTGGTCTTGCCTGCCAATTCATTGCTACTCTCTACGTGTTTTTGCTATCAATACCCACCAGTTTATTTGTACCAACTTCACTCATGCTTGTGGCTGGAGTCATCAAGTATTTTGAGAGGATAATAGCAATGCGTGGAGCTACTCTAGAAAGGTTCAAAGACTCGATGCTTGAGGCCCCCGAACCTGGAATCGACTACACGCGGTTCATGGAGGAATACAAAACTAGGAAGATCTTGAAAGAGCGTAGCCAGTTAGTCAGGGTCCCGGAGGCAAAGAAAGAGAAAGGAGTTAAGGAATCAGGAAGGTCAGAGTCAAAAAGGAAATGTATGACACATCTGGAGGCTGTTCAACATGCTTATAAGTACTTCAACATCTACAAAGGTCTTGTGGTTGATTTCATCTATAGCTATCAACAGTGGATAGAGAGCAAGCAATTTTTCCAGTTGCTGTCGGCCGAAGATGCTTTGAGGATTCTAGAGGTAGAACTAAGCTTCTTGTATGGAACTTTATTCACTAAAATTGATATCCTGCACAACTGGATTGGAGTTCTTTTCCGCTGTATAGCCTTAGGATGCCTGTTTACATCCCTTCACATATTCAAAGCATCGAAGAAAGATGGATATGATGGCTTTGATGTTGGCCTTACTTACGTCTTGATATTTGGGGGAATCATACTAGATTCCATTTCCATCCTCATATTCTGTTTATCTGACTGGGCATTTGCAAGATTGAGTAGCAGGCCTAAGGAAGAGCTAGACACCAGTTTTGAAAAAATTCTCAATTGGCTCCTATCTTTCAGGGAGCTGAAGTGGAAGAAGTGTCAGTGTCACAAGCAAGAAAAATTGTGCCACAGCGTGCTTGATAGACTCTTTATATTCCGGAGATGGTCTGAGCACATATATGCATACAGCCTGATTAGCTCCTCCCTGAAGATAAAACCAGAGACCATCCACCACACCAGGGCTTACATACACAATTCCTTTGACGCCATCATTAGAAGCTCGTACATAGATCGTCTCGTTCATAGAGCTTTCAAAGCCTTGAATGGCCTCCACGAGAAGATACACATATATATCATTTCTCTGTCCAACAATCATCGGGTGATATGTTGGATGATGGATAATCTTTTTTACCCTACCAGGCTTGCCCTTAGACTATGGTCCTATATATTCGAATTTTATGGCATTTCAGATCTGCTAAATGTGATACTCTATACATCTCATGAACGACTTACTCAAGAGATTTGGGAGTTCATATTTGAGGAGGTTAAACGTCGATCCGTGTTTGTAGTTGGCATGGAAAGCGCCAGCCAAATATACTCGGCTAGGGGTGACTGGGTTCTGCGTGATATGAAAGTGGAGATTGATAACGAGAAACTGCTGCAGTATGTTACTGATTTGGACTATGATCAGAGCATCCTGGTGTGGCATATTGCCACAGAGCTCTTACACCAAACAACAGATGTACCCTGTGCAGAAAGAGATGCTAGATGGAAAGAGCTGAGCAAAACTCTTTCGGAATACATGATGTACCTTCTAATTGCGAAGCCGTATCTGATGTCAACAGTCGCGGGGATTGACAAGGTGAGATTCAAAGATGCAGCAGCAGAAGTTAAAAACCTTCGAAAAACGATAAATCAATTTCAGAAGAAGGATGTTGAGGATCTAGGAGATGCAAAGACGGCCTGTCAAAAGATTATGTCTGTCGTTAAGCAAAGTGATGAGACCGCCAAAGGGTATGGGAGCAAGTCTGTGTTGCTCCGAGCGAGCATGCTAGCAAGGGACCTGCGCGATATACAAGTTAAAGTAAGTAATGATAAGATGTGGGAAGTAATGAGCAAAGTGTGGGTGGAGATGCTTTGCTATGCAGCAACTCACTGTGACTCAAAACAGCATGCTGCTCAGCTCAACAGAGGTGGTGAACTCATCAACTTTGTTTGGCTTTTGATGGCTCATTTTGGACTCGGAGAACAATTCAGAACCACCAAGGAAGATTCTAGAGCTAAACTGATTCTGGACAAAACTACCACTTTTTGCCTTGTGTAACTGATTATTTTTATGCTCTTTTTTTTTTTCTTTGTTCTTTTTGCCATTCAATATGTTTGGCTATCGTTGAATTGACAATCCAGCATCTATAACTCTTCGCCACTCCTAAACTGAATCGTAAAACTGAGTTTCTTGCTCTAGTCTCAAAACCAAGGAATTGGTAACACAGCTTTTTTTTTCCTGTACGCTAAAACCATAACGCCAAGATTCTTTTTCTCCAAAACACACAACAAACTCGATCACAGTGACTCTAACACAAGATGAAGATCGAATGATAAACTAATTACACTTTTGAATCAAGCAATTTCGAATCGCTGGCCTGAGTCTCAACCAAATCCAAACGCTGATCATCTGATTTATACTTGACCTTTTCTTTTAAGAGCAAAGACTCCGAGCCAACGAGTCTTTTAGTACGCTAATTATCAGACACCTATTCGAGGCAATTCGGAAGTTTGATCCAGCATTTTTGAGTTCACACGCATTTTGAACTGTGTTTCACTTGTGCGAATGAATGTTTATGCTACATGGCTGAAAGAAACAATAAACATTTCGTATGCTAAGTTTTAAATTCAGTAGAGTCGTTGTAAATTGTAATCAGAATTCTTTTAAAGCCCCAAACGGTAACTTAACACTAGTTTTTTTGGTATTTACATAAAAGGTCCTTTAAATATTTGTTAATTACATTTATGGACAAATACTTGTCTTTCTGCACAAGAAAAATAGTTTACTAAAAGGCAAAGGTTTTTCCGGAAATCTCTACTCCTCCCACAACCCGATACAAGATCGAGACGTTTCTCATCTGCGAGGAAGGAGAATCTCCCATGGCTGCTCTACAATACCTCGAATCTCAGAAAAATGCGCACCCAGAGCTCACCGAGTGGTACAATTCTCTCGCAGATCTGTACCAGAAGAAGCTCTGGCACCAGCTCACCCTCAAGCTCGAGCAGTTCATCGCTCTCTCCATCTTTCAGGTCACTTTCTTTCCCACTATCTAATTCAAAGTCTCATCCTTTAGTAGTTTTGGGAATTAGGGTTCATAGATCTCGACTTGGGTTTATATTAGATCTAAAAGATTCCTTCCGACAGTGACTTTGATGAGTTGGGTGCATATCAAATTCACTGAATAAGCTTTGTATTGGTAATGATCGCATTCTATGATTGAAAGTTTGAATCTTTAATTGCCTTAAGAGGTTTAAGAGACTTTGTGTTGCTATGTTCTTGTCTGGGTCTTAGGTTTTCTACTTGTTAATGCTCATTATGTTCACTGAATAAGCTTTGCATTGCTGAATGATCACACTCTGTGATTTAAAGTTTGAATCTTTCACCGTAAAGATATCTAGAAACCCATGTTCCTGTTTGGCTCTTTAAGAGACCTTTGTGTTGCTATGTTCTTGTCTTGCTCTTATGTTGTCTGCTAAAACCATGATTTAGTAAAGAGTTTACTGATTTGTTAAAGTGTTTCCCTTTATCAGGCTGGAGATGCTTTGATACAGCTTTACAACAACTTCATAACCGACTTTGAGACGAAGATCAACCTTCTGAAGCTTGCCCATTTCGCGGTTGTAGTCTCCAGACAGTACCCTGAGAAAGAAGCTGCCGTTAGTTATCTTCAGGGAGTGATTGAGAAGCTTAGAGCAACTAAAGAGTCACGGATCAGTGAGCCGATCAGCTATGTAGAGACGCAGATAGCTTTGTTCAAGCTTGAGCAAGGTGACCAGAAAGAATGCAAGAAGATCTTGGACGATGTGAAAAGCTCTCTTGATAGTATGACTGATATCGATCCGTCGGTTTATGCTAACTTCTTTTGGGTGTCTTCTCAGTACCATAAGTTCCGTCAAGAGTTTTCTGATTTCTATAAGAATGCTCTTCTTTATCTTGCGTACACTTCTGTGGAGTCACTTTCTGAGTCGTTTAAGCTGGTACGTCCTTATAGTTATTCTAAAATTGTTTCCTAATGTCAGTTTGGATAAGCATTGGTTAGTGTAATAATGTTTTCTTTATGGGATATTTGTGTATCTTTGCAGGACTTGGCTTTTGATCTGTCGCTGTCAGCTCTGCTCGGAGAGAATATTTACAACTTTGGGGAACTGTTAGCCCATCCAGTTGTAAGTTTGGCCTTTGATCTTATATTTGCTTGAGGCTAACCAGTAACCATACTGGTTTATGAATTATGATGGTGATCATGATTGTGTTCCTCTTATGTCAGCTGAAGAGTCTGCTTGGAACAAATGTGGAATGGCTTTACCACATTCTACAGGCATTCAACCACGGTGATTTGGTTCAGTACCAAGAACTCTGCCGTGTTCACAATGCAGCCTTGAGCGCACAACCTGCACTGGTTGAGAATGAGAAGAAGCTGTTAGAGAAGATCAACATTCTCTGCCTTATTGAGATCATTTTCAGGTATTTATTGCCTTGCTAAACAACATCTTGCACACCTATACAGACAGGAAAAAAAAAAGAATGAATGCTGAAATTGTTTTGTAACCATATCTGTAACAGCCGACCAGCTGAAGATAGGACCATACCTTTGAGTGTCATTGCTGAGCGTACTAAGCTTTCTATCGAAGATGTTGAACACCTTCTCATGAAGAGCTTATCTGTGAGTATTCCTCTTTGTCCCATTCTATGATTACCCATGAATATATAAAATTTTTTGAGGGTAAATATGTTGATGTGAATAAATATCATATGGTGATTTTGTGCAGGTGCACTTGATAGAGGGGATAATAGACCAGGTGGATGGAACGGTGCATGTCTCATGGGCGCAACCGAGGGTGCTTGGGATACCGCAGATCAAGTCGTTGAGGGATCAGCTAGATAGTTGGGTTGATAAGGTTCACGCTACCTTGTTGTCCGTTGAGGCCGAGACACCTGATCTTGTTGCAGCTTAAAACTCTTGTTTCTTCTTTGTTTTCCTTTTGAGCTACAGGATTGTATCATTTGCTGGATATTAAATGCAACTTCTTTCCCTTTTCGAATACCAGTTTTTAGGAGTTCGAGTCGTTTTTTTTAAAACGTTTGCTCTCAACAAACACATGATGAATGTATCTTTCTATCTCCCGTGATTCTTTCTTTTCATGTAACACCAGTGAATGGTATCATTCAAGATTATTTTCCCAAACTATAAGCTCCTCTCATGATTGATGTTCTGTATCTTATGTTCTTTCTAGGATTTGAGAGCATAGATTATAAGCCTAATTATAGTGACAGTGTCATGAAGGTTGAGGAAATGTTTTCAGGGACAAAATCACTTGGAACAAGTAGTGAACTCCAGTTATGTTGATGGCTCTCTTTGAGGCAACTGTGCTCTCTCTCTTTGATGGTTTATTTGAAGTTCTTGTTATGAATCAATACACCTTTCACGATTTGTGATCTTGACCTAACTAACTCTCACGTCTTTCGTTTGTATCACTCGTTTCTAATCTCACAGATCCGTAAAGAAAACAAAGAAACAACAAAGAACACGCAAGCCTTGCTTGTCCAGTTCGAGTCTCGATGTGAGATCTCTACCTCTGGGTGCTGACGGAACAAGCAAACACTTCACTAGAATCACCAGAAGAGTCTTACAAGATCGATCTCAAGAGCCTATAAATCAGAATACAATTCTCACTACAAGAAAACTCGTCCATTATTAGGACGGGTTTTCTTCGTTATTTCCTAGTAAATGGCCTTTTACTAGGAAATAACGAGGAAACACGTTTCCTCGAAACACGTTCATCGTAAAGCAATTTTCCTCGTAAGGTCCTAGCGAATTTACGAGGCAACGTTTCCTCGTAAAGCCGTGGTAATACTTTCCGCGTAAGGTCCTCGTGAGCTGTCCTCGTAAACTCGTAGTAAGTGTTTCCTCGCAAGGTCGTAGTAATATATTACGAGGAAATGACTAGAACACCTTACGAGGACATTACTTGGAATAGCTTACGAAGATTTTGCTTGGAAATGTTTTTTTCCCTATTAAAAAAAAATTACAAATAATTAATTTATTTTTTAAAAATGAAGAAAATCAAATTATAAAAAAAATAGAAAAAACAAAATATGTTATAAATAACTAAATAATATACAAAAAGTTTTTAAATTCATAATATACAATTAAAAATAAAAGAAACTACGGATGCTGGTCGTGAAATTGCTGAACGAACCGGTCGTCGTCCTGGTTCGGCAAATCCTCTCCATAGTTGGTTGCCGGCTGTGACTGTAATGGTGGATGCTGTTGGGTACTTGGAATCCCTGCACGTTCCCGTCTCTGACGCAACATCTCCTGCACATGCGGGTTTCCAACCGCCATAATGTCGACGACATCGGTGAGAGAAGTGACATGCTCGGTGAGCGAAGTCACATGAGACTGCGCCGCCTGCAACTCCGAGCGCAGCTGAGCATTGACATCGTGCTGCTCATGATGATAAGACGATGTCGCTGCAGGGATATCGTTAACCGAGCCAATCCCGATGATACGCCCCTTTTTCCTAGGGGCGACCTGAAAATAAAAATATTAATAACATTAAGAAAAAATTAAAAATATTAAAAATTAATAGTAAAACAAATTATTTACCTCCTCGTAAATCTTATCCACGTCAACAGTGGATAATATGACTGGAGACCCAGTCTGCTGAGTCAGCTGGGTCTGGCGTTCGTCAACTCGGGCAACAAGCTCGTTGTAGATCCGCTCGGAAACAAGATCTACAAACTGCCCAGCCTTGTTCCGGTGGGTCCTCTCGTAAAGGTCTTTCAGAGATGGAAGAACTTCTGTCTCCTTAGCCTAAAATTAATTTATAAAATTAAATATTAATTTGGAATATTCAAATAAAATAAAAATTAATTTGTTATTAAAAATCATCTTACCATGTCTAGATGAACTCACCCGTGAGGTTTTCGACCTGTGGTATGAAGCACCTTCGTGTTGCCATGCTCGTCTTTGGTCATGCGGTTCCCGGAGTTTGTGTTAGAGGTTCTGACCGAGTCCGGCAACCCCCAATAGCTGATGAGGCCATCCCACACCGTGG